ATATAAATTCTTTAAAAATCCAAGATTATGACCCTTTTTTACCCTTTCTAAATTTTTTTTCTACCACGATAACAGAATATAAACTATTTTAACATTTTGTATCGACCACAAATTTCAGTCTTGCGAAGCTGGCCTTAGGTAAAAATACTACCCCGGTCTTCTGACAGTCTCTTGAATTATTAGCAAGTTTTTGCAAGTTTTATGCTTTTTGGGATATTTTTGAATTTTCACATCAAAATATCATGAGCTCATCATGCCTTGAGAATAAACAAGATATTCAAGATCGAAGCCGAATGTCGTTAAAAATATTTATTTGTTTTATTATAGAAAAAATCGAATAAATTAAACATCTCGATTGATTAACATGTCTCTTCAACTCTTAGACGCTGATAACTTCCACAGATATCTTTGGACTTCTCCCTTTGGTCTCTGAGCTCTTTTTACTTCACCTTTGTTAAATTTAGTTTATTAATCTCACTTGTTTATTTTTTATTATTTTTTACTCTATTTGGAAAACACTTTCCATTATTTTCCGATATTCGAAAAAATAGTATTTCATCCTCTAACCTGATTACGTTTAAGTAGATCGATGTGAATGAAAACGTTTGCATTTTTTTTTTTTTTTGATCCAATTAATGTGTAAACAAGTCAAAACACATAAAACTGAAATTTTACAATCGATCGACATTCTAAATGCAAAATCTCGTGGTGTCGATGATGGTGGTGGTGGGTGTTTATCATATGATTAAGTTGTTCCGTTGCAATGTCTGTTTCATTTCACAATTATTGCTTGTTATTGTTGTTTCTTCTTTTCTCAAGAAAATTGCAACAACAAAAACGAGCAGTTCAAATTAGCTCAAAAGTAATAAAAATTTGCAATAGATGTTGAGATTTTTTTCAGTTATAGTTATAATTTGACTCAATTTTTCTTGTTCTCTGCATTCAAATGCCATTGCATTTTTCAGTTTCGACAACAAGAACAACCAAAACTGAAAAACATTTTCTCCGAATTAAAAATGACTGAAATCAGCAGCAACCACTAATACCATTAAATTTGAAAATAATTTTTTTTTGAAAACGACAAGTTGTGAATTTGCATTTTTTTGTGCGATGTTTTGTTGTTTATTTGCCATACACCTACACACATGCGCCACTGATTTCCCGCCAGTCTCCTCAGCCCATTCCCGGTTGGGGACAAAGAGTAACGCCCAAGAGGGCATTAGAAAGACATTTTTTTATGATTTGTTTTCGCAGTGCCTCTTATTAGATGGTCACTTAAGCGTGTGTATATCTATGTATGTGAGTGAGTGCGTACGTGTTTGGCCACTCAAAATTTGTATTGTTGCCTTTGCATGTGTATATGTGTGGGCTTGTGTTTATGCTTTTCCGGTCTTTTATTTATATTTTCTTGTTCTTCGTTGATACCACCAACCATCCATTCATTATTGGCCACTCAAAACTCAAGTCATTTTGGTCGACATTCAGTCAAAAGTTGTCCTGTTGTGAGACTTGTCGTCAAAAAATCAGGGGCAAGAATCCGAAATACCCAAGAAAATTGAAATAATTCGTCTAAAACTAGTGCCTTACAAGCTGTGTAGCTCGTTGTACTGTAAAAACGGAACTGGAACTGAAATTGCTGTGCAAATAACAAGAAAAGGTGCGTTGCTAAGAAATCGATGAAAAGAAAATCCTCGATTTTTTTGTGAAAAAAAAAAAAGAATTGAAAATCGAAAGAAGAAAAAACAAACGGAACTTTCTTGGTGTGAGTGTGACAAAATTAAGGAAAAAAAAACAAATGTATTTTTGTAAAAACGAAATTAACATTTCTTTTACATGCCTATCTTCTTAACCCCACCACCATTCTCCTCCTTGTTGCTTGAGCATAGTAATCGATGATCTTTCCATACAGTGTTTGATTTTTCAACATTTTTTTTTTTTTTTGCTTTTATAAATAGCCCCGCAACAATTTTCTTCTCGAAAATTTGTTGCTAATTTATGATCTGCCTGCAGTTGTTCCTCAGCCATTTCGTTTCTAATTTTGTTTGACAAAAATATTGTTCTCCAAATTGATCTGTTGATAAAATTCAAATTGAATATTCGAAAACTGTTAGAAGCGAATAAATAAATAAATATATACATATTTTGTGAAATTATTATGTAATAACACAACTGTCAGAATTGAGCTGAAAAGAGACATTTACATTGGAATTTTTCACATTTCATCGAACAGGAAATTGAAAAAAAATATATAAAAATATTAGAAAGTGGTTGTTCTTGGGAAATTTGAAATTGAAAAGAAGGATATTTGAATTTGAAAAGATAGTCAAGAAGAGTCCTTTAAAAACATAGATATTATGGAGTCCTCTAAAAAAATAAAAAAACCAACAATTATGGTCCTAAAATTCAAAGAAATTCTTTTGAAAATCCACAATTATGGCCATGAAGTCCTTGAATGAATTTATTTTAATAAATTTACGATAATTGTGTTGTTAGTCCTTTATAAAAATTCTTTAAAAAAACACAAAATTTCATAAAAATTCTTTAAAAAATCCACGATTATTGGTTTGGTAGTCCTTCATGAAAATTCTTTAAAAATTCCACGATTATAGGTTTGGTAGTCCTTCATGAAAATTCTTTAAAAAATCCACGATTATGGCCCTGATAGTCCTTTTTAATTTTTTTTTTTTTTTTTTTTGAAAATCAACATTTATGGACCTGAAGTCCTTTATAAAAATTCTTTAAAAAATCCACAATTATGTCCTTGATAGTCCTTTATAAAAATTCTTTAAAAAATCCACCATTATGTCTTTGATAGTCCTTTATAAAATTCTTTAAAAAATCCACAATTATGTCCTTGATAGTCCTTTATAAAAATTCTTTAAAAAATCCACCATTATGTCTTTGATAGTCCTTTATAAAATTCTTTAAAAAATCCACGATTATGGGTTTGGTAGTCCTTCATGAAAATTCTTTAAAAAATCCACGATTATGGGTTTGGTAGTCCTTCATGAAAATTCTTTAAAAAATCCACGATTCTGGGTTTGGTAGTCCTTCATGAAAATTCTTTAAAAAATCCACGATTCTGGGTTTGGTAGTCCTTCATGAAAATTCTTTAAAAAATCCACGATTCTGGGTTTGGTAGTCCTTCATGAAAATTCTTTAAAAAATCCACGATTCTGGGTTTGGTAGTCCTTCATGAAAATTCTTTAAAAAATCCACGATTCTGGGTTTGGTAGTCCTTCATGAAAATTCTTTAAAAAATCCACGATTCTGGGTTTGGTAGTCCTTCATGAAAATTCTTTAAAAAATCCACGATTCTGGGTTTGGTAGTCCTTCATGAAAATTCTTTAAAAAATCCACGATTCTGGGTTTGGTAGTCCTTCATGAAAATTCTTTAAAAAATCCACGATTATGGCCCTGATAGTCCTTTTTAATTTTTTTTTTTTTTGAAAATCAACATTTATGGCCCTGAAGTCCTTTATAAAAATTCTTTAAAAAATCGATGATTATGTCTTTGATAGTCCTTTATAAAAATTCTTTAAAAAATCGACGATTATGTCTTTGATGGTCCTTTATAAAAATTCTTTAAAAAATCCACGATTATGTCTTTGATAGTCCTTTATAAAAATTCTTTAAAAAATCGACGATTATGTCTTTGAAAGTCCTTTATAAAAATTCTTTAAAAAATCGACGATTATGTCTTTGAAAGTCCTTTCAAAAAAAAATTCTTTAAAAAATAATTCACGATTATGTTGTTTGTAGTCCTTCATAAAAATTCTTTAAAAAACACAAAATAAATTCTGTGATAGACTTTTAAAAAAATTCTTTAAAAACTCCACGAATATGTCTTTGAAAGTGCTTTCAAAAAAATTCTTTAAAAAATCCAAGATTATGTCTTGGATAGTCCTTTAAAAAAATTCTTTAAAAAATACACGAATATGTCTTTGAAAGTCCTTTCAAAAAAGTTCTTTAAAAAATAATCCACGATTATGTTGTTTGTAGTCCTTCATAAAAATTCTTTAAAAAATCCACAATTATGTCTTTGATAGTCCTTTATTAAAATTGTTGTTGCTTTCAACCAATTCTTAAAAAAACACTATTATAGGTCTGATAGTTCTTCATAAAAATTCCTTAAAAAATCTACTACTATGGCTCTGATAATCCTTCATTAAAATTCTTAAACAAAACACGATAATGCCCCTGGTATAGCCACTTGTAGTTTTCCAGCCAAATATAAAGAAATCACACTATCTCGCTTGAATTTTATCACGAATAATTTTTTTCTGGAAAATTCCCACCAAAATGCTTTTGTAGCGTTGTAAACAATATAATGAGCTGTCACTGGAAGAAAATTTTACAGCTGCCGGTCGGTTAGCTTAGAAATGACAGCAGTCTGAAATTGGTTGTAGTTTTTTCATTTCACCCTGTACAAATAAAATTTGGTTAATCCATTTGAAAAGTATTCTTGAAGTATCAAAATTAAATTCTTAAGAAATCAATTGAATCTTTTTATTTTGAAATCAATCGATGTAAAGAAGAAATCTAATATACATATATGTATGAATGTATATATTAGTTTACATCAATCATTAATAAATTTTAATTGTGAAAATATAACACACGAAATAATAACAAATAAAATCAAAAATATGTCTGCGTAGAATATTTTGAAATTATTTGGTGGAATGTGTGAATTATTTCTTGCCAAGTGGTAGTTTTTGAGATTACGTCGAAAATAATTGAATGAAAAAATGCCTCAATCAACGCTGAAATTGAATAAAAAACAGATTCCGCCCAGAGGTCATAGAAATCGACGAAACGAATTCTACTTCAAATCGAATGGTGGTTGTGGTCAGCAGCAGTGCAAAGAAAGAACTTGACTTTCGTTTCCAAAAAAATTAGTCTACAGTGGAGAGTATAATTTTTCTATTAACTTATGTTGTTTTTAACAAATTATATTTATTTGGTATTTATTTCTTCTTTAAACATTTCTTTAACAGGCTGTCGAACAATACAGTGAATACATTGAAGAACATACACAGGTTATTAAGACCACAACGCAGGTAAGGCGACAGGTAGAGTTTCCATGCTTAAGTATATATGAAATTTACAAGATCTTTTTACTAACTGGTGGTGTTTCTGCTTTCTTTTTCTTTTTTTTATCACACATTAAACATGAGCGCATATTTACAGGTGTTGAGCGATATGTTTCATTGAATATTTTTTTCATTGACTGGAACATATAACCGAAAAATAAAAATCAAATTGAAAGAAAAAAACCAAGAGAAAATATTTGCTGGCTAAGCAAATGTTTTCTCTTGGAAGCCTCTTCCAAATAACAACAGCAACAACAAAACAAATAGAAAAGTTGAAAAACGAAACGAAACCTTTTTTTAAGAAAAATTAAAAATTTTAAATTTGGTTAAAGAAATTCATCTCCGGAAACTTTTCTGTTTCGTTTTCTAACAAAGCTTTTCGCCAAGCTTTTATTGGTTGTTTTAATTAAAAATTAACAGCTTTCATAAGTCACATGCAAAACAAAACTCATAATCTCAAATCCTTGAGCAATCGGAGGACTTTCACAAGTCCTTAAATTGTTTATTTCAACAAAATATCTCAGTATATTTAAAATGTTTCAAAGACTTAGATTATGGGTAAGGATTGCCGTACAGCAGAGGACAGATACCGATTGAAAATTAGGAATTTATTGGTACCATCCATCGGACAAAAATTTGTAGGTCTTCTATGAGAAGACCATTTGTTTTTTTTTTTACGAGAGAAAATCTTTTGGTCTTCTGTGAAATGATCTTTTCGTCTTCTACCAAAAATTCCTTATGGTTTTCTACATAAGCAGACTTCTTTCACATATAAACAAGCCTTATGAAGAACTTTTGATTTTTAAGAACATACCTTTTTGGTCTTCTATGGAGAAACATTTTTTTCTTCTATGAGAACCCCCTGTTTGATTTTGGGGAGACCTTTTGGTCTTCTAAGAGGAGACCTTTTGATCTTCTATGAGAAGACCTTTCTGGTCTTCAATTAGAAGACCTTTAGTCTTCTATAAGGAGACCGTTTAATCTTTTCTGTCTTCTATGAGAAACACTTTTTAGTCTTTTTTTGAGAATCGCTTTTGGTCTTCCTTTATGTTCTTCGCAAGGAATAGCTGTTGGTCTTCTATGAGAATAGCTTTTGGTTTTCTTTTGAGGAGACATTTTGGTATTTTATGATGGGACATTTTGGTCTTCTATGAAAAGACCTATCTGGTCTTTTATAAAAATAAAGTTTTTTTGGTCTCCTATGAGAAGACCATTTGGTCTCCTATGAGAAGATCTTTTGGTCTTCTAAGAGAATATATTATGGTCTTCTATGAGAAGAATTTTTGGTCTTCTATGAAAAAACCTTTTGGTTTTTCTTTGAGGAGACCGTTTGGTCTTCTGTAAAAAGCGTTTGGTCTATGAGAATCATTTTTCCTTCCTCCCTGAGAAGAGAGAAGATCTTTTGGTCTCCTATGAGAAGACCATTTGGTCTCCTATGGGAAGATCTTTTGGTCTTCTATGAGGAGACCTGTGGGTCTTCTATGAGGAGACCTTTTGGTCTTCTATGAGAAGATTTTTATGATCTTCTATGAAAATACCTTGTGGTCTTCTTTTGAGGAGACCTTGTGGTCTTCTATGAGGCGACCTTTTGATCTTCTATGAGAAGGTCATTTTTGGTCTTTTGGTCTTTTCTGCTCTTCTATGAGAAGACCTATTTTTGTCTTCTATAAGTAGAGCTTTTCAGGTCTCCTTTGAGTAAATTGTCTGCTCTTCTTTTTGCCTTCTATGAGAAGGGGTAGACGCTTGGTTTCATTCTATATATTCCCTAAAAGAAAAACAATTTTTTTCGTTAGGATTCCACGAGGAGACCTTCTGATCTTTATAGTATTCACCGTTCGGTCTTCTGATGCACTATTTTTGGTAATTACCTCACATTAATTTGGAGGCATAAAAAGTTCTCAATTTGTCTCCGCAATTTTTTACAAAAAATAATTTTTAAAACCAAAGGAGTTCCCAAAAGACGTTTCACAATCTGGAATAAATTTAGAAATTAAATTGAATTTTATGATAAATTGGTGACTCAGATCCATAGAAAAATGTCAGAAGAACATTGTTCTTAAAAAAATTGTGGAGATTTGTGTCTTTTCGAGATACTTCAAGTTTGTAGCCAATGTAGTTCTACATTTATACGGCACCTAAGGATTTGATCAATGCTAGAATGAAAGCTCCCTCGTAATTTTCTAGGCATACCTTAACCTCGTGCCCCTGTTTTACCATTTTTCATGTGGCATCGACGATTTCTGAACATATTCAAAAATTCATGGCTAGAGCAAATTATCATTGGTTCATTTTTAAATGTCATCGTTAGAATTATACGAAAATTTTAGAATATAAACGGCAAAATCATTTTCTAACATTGTCATAGCCATAGCGGAAATTTGGGTCTCTAAATTACATTCAAATTTATTTTCTACTTGGAATCAATGAATTAAACCCCTTACTCGTGTAAACTTATGCCATTTTTTTCTATTTTTTTTTAAATTTGTTTCATAATTTTGTCATTGACCTTCCTACTAAAGGTTTTGGTTTTAAATAGTTCACTCAAAAGTTCTTCTTTTCATACTGATATAATAAAAATAGTCCTGCAGGTTTATGCAGATGCTTTTTAATATGCTCTAATATTTTTCATTTAATTATTATCATCAAGGATATTTTGGTATTGTTAAAAAAAAACATATTTTCACATCAGCGTTGTTTTTGTCCTAAATCATTTTCTATATACTGAGATATTATTTTCTTTAAAAAAAAAATCTTAATAAAATAACCAAAACACACTCATATTTGTATTAATATCTTATTTACCAAAAGTAAATAAATATTTTTACATAAATGTGTGCTCACAGTGGCAATGGAATACAGCAACTAATTATGTCTTTTATTTTTTGTATTGTATTCTTTTTTTTTTTCTATAGAATAAATTTCAGTTTCAAGGGTTTATTAAGGTTAGCGGCCAATACCCCTTGAATCTGTCGTATTATCCTATTGTTTTGTGTTGTTCTATAGAAATGTGTTGTTTTGCAAATTACATAAATGTATACATTTTATCATCATCATGCTAATAAATTTCTTTTTTCTTTGCCTATTTTTTGCAAATGAAAATATTACAGACTACCCAACAACAACAGCTGCTGAACGGTAAAAGCGAAAGTAACTTTAGACCCGTCGCATTTGAGAAGTTCCCAGTACCAACTACCGGTGGAATCGTTGTTGGTAAGTAAAGATGGATTTTACAAAGTTATCGCTATTTAGTTATAAGACGATTGATCACCCTGGCGATTGAGTGTTGTCATCTGGCAAAAAAAAGATTAAAAATATGGAAAATATTTTCACTTTATTCCAATACGTAATTTAAAACACTTACCAAGATAAATTGGTAAAATTGGCCATTAAGGACCGGATATTCAAACTTCTAGGTTACTTCTAAGATTTAACAACAGTCAACATATATTCGAAACCCAATACTGTACATTTATTTATATAAGATTTTTAATTATTATTAAAAAACGAACACAATTCAAATGTACGCAATAAATAGGACACACAAGGTACGAAAAAGGTCCCTTAGCGTTGCCACATTATTAGATTCGAGAAGAAACATATTGATTTGTGATTGGATAGTTGATTAATACCCATTGGCCTGATGTTGCCATTAAATTAAAAAAAAAATATTAAAGACCTTCTTATATAAATCAACTTATCAAAGTATTTAAATGAAATAGCCCTGCTTAGGCTGTGACAACCCAATGAAGTCACAAAAAATAAGAATTTTATTTTATTAGTACTAAATTAAAATATATAAAAATGTCGTTAAAAACGATCTTAGGGAATAGCCTCGAAATTTTAGTCTCCACCGCTTGGAATGGGTGTCTATACCCATGCACTATGGGACGAATGGCATTTTTTTGAGGCAAAAACTCACAGGGACGAGGTAGAACTTTCAAAGTTCGTTTTTAGTTGCTGGTTATGATGAGAACATCTGCCAAATTTTTTGAATCAGAAAAAATATAGATATAGTTCCCACATATAGCTTTCATCAGATTTGAGATTTAGCCCCCTTAGAGTCGTAATATAAACTCTATAACAATGATATTCGATACGTGGTGTCAGATACAGTTTAGAAATACTTTTGTCAAATTTGGTGGAAATCAGTTCAGATTTACATAGCTCCCATATATATTCCTCCAAATTTTTGTAAATGTTACACCAACCATGCACTTTTTGTCTAATCAGGATGAGTCTTGGATCATACGATACAATTCTGTCAAGATTAAAGGCTGTCATAGTTGGGCCAAATCAATTCCTTTATAGCTATAGCTCTCGATTTTATATCTAAGCCTTCTCACATCATTATATACCATCTAAAGCAATGACATTTGGTACGAGAGGTCACTACAGCATAAACATATCTCCTTTAAATTCACCCGATTTCAAGCCATATTGATCATTCAATAAATATCATTGTCGACATTGTTTACCTCAAACATAGTGATGTAGGGTACAGTATTTTTTGCTTACCTGGACAATCAAAAATTGCACGACATCTTGTGCAGCAATGCCCAAAATGCAGGTAGCTTCATTGCATTTATCTGCACAATGAAGCAGGTATCTTTAATTTTACTTCCGTGCACAAAAAGTGCAGTTATCTTTAATTTTCTATTCGTGCACAACAAAGCAGCAGCAGCATAACCATCTTTTAGTGTGGGAGAGGAAGCGAGAATATGTTTTTAATGCATGCTCTTTTCTTGTGTTGTTATTGTTTTTGCGAATACAAAAACAAAAACGAAGTGGTATTTTTTAGTGTCCTTTTTGAGTTTGCAAAAAATTTTCTTGTGCAGATAAATACAACTTTTGTAACCAAATTAAAAAAAAAAAATACCAAATTTTCGAGGCAGGAATGTCCAATGTGCAGCTATCGATTGGGCACTTAAATACAATTCAAATAAAGGGATTCAGAAAAAAATGGCATAAAAAAAGTTTTTTGGTCTGCAAAGGCCAATGCGCAGCTAATGTTGATGCAGGTAAATAGAAACCACTGTATCATATTGTCGGCCCAGCATGACTTTTGTCTTTTCCATACTCAATAAAATATGTAGGGGATATCAAGGGATCAGATGAATCTACTATCTTGATGACTCTGTCTTGAGCTAACAATGATTTTTTATCTTTTAAAAAATAGTCCTTTGTTTCTTAGCCATTTTAAGTTGGTGTGTGCATAAATGTTATTAGTAAGCTTTCTCATAGTCGTAAAATATTTATGGATAATATTTAATTCACATATCACATAAATCTAGTTTATTACATTTGTGGGTTAACGCTGATTTTCTAGAAAATTATTAATAAAAAATATATGGCTTTTAGAACTTTAAGCCTAAAATGGCGAAGAGAAAATATGGCATCTTTAACAACTCAGCATAAGGCCGTGAGTTGTTGCCACATTGTAATTTTTTGTTTTCGAGGTTTTTGAAATTGTTATAAACATAATTTCTTTAATTTTTTATTCAAACGACTAACTTCAAAATATGATTTGTTGCCTCAAGAAACCTCATTCCAAATGAGCATATCCAGCTCTGGATTTGCGTTATTTACCTTGTCAAATTTAAAACAGGTTGAATCTCTGATTTAAATGTTTGTGCATTCAACTTGAAACAAGTCTAACAATAATAATAATAATAATAATAATAATAATAATAATAATAATAATAATAATAATAATAATAATAATAATAATAATAATAATAATAATAATAATAATAATAATAATAATAATATTAATAATAATAATAATAATAATATTAATAATAATAATATATAATAATAATACCTTCCCTTAAATTTGCCATGTTTTAAGTTAACAACCTTAAAAAGATTTTATTTGTTTACAAATTTTACGATCCAAAAATAACACACATATAATTTTCTTATATATTATAAAATATGTATGTTTTTGAAAATTCGTATAGGCGATTGTTTTGGAAATTGTGTTAAAATTGCAATCACAAAAAATTAAATGAAATGTCACATTCATGTAGTCACTCATTTGTCTACGGTTCATTGTGTTTTGTTGACATTTGTATATTTAGCATCTTCAATTAGCTCTCGGAATATATCATCTGCAGATTTACACATGTCATTTGTTTCGCATTTAATATATGTAGAAAACATTTTAAAATGAATAACTTATTAAAATGTCAAACACTGTGCTAAATCACCCCAAACCCCCTGAAGTATGCTATAGTTGTTTGTATGCACGCGCATGCTAATGGGGTCAATGCATTGCGGTTGAATGAAACATGTTTGTCGTTTGTTTATTTAGGTAATAATAATGGTTAATCTTGCTTTTGAGTAATTTTATGACAAAAAGGCCCAATAAGCTTTTTTTTCAATTTTTGTCTGGTTTTGAATTAAGTAAAGTTATTTTTCTTTCCAAACAAATATTTCTTCGTATCGCAGGGATTTAGACTTATGATGGCGTAAAGTGGTTCAAAATAGTTTTTCGTTGTTAAAATACTATTTTATACGCTAATATTTTTATATAATATTTTTATATACAAGTTTTTGACTACTTTAAAAAAAAAACTAGCTAAAAAGTAACAGTCGGTTTTGCCCACAGATTTATACCCTCAGCCTATGTCCGTGTATTACAATATATTTTGACATGTGATATGTTGCTCATTTTGCGTTTTATGAGCGTCATCGTTATTCAACATTTTGACCCCTTGTAAGAGAGGTATCAGAAGAAGTGGACCGTTCTATACGTCCTTCATGCTAGATCTTGTGTTGGTAGAAATACTGGGATGTGCGAAATTTGAGGACAATATGACTCTTCTTTCAAATTTTGTAAGAGATATGATTATTCAAGATTTTGTTGGGGAGGTACTAGAAGGAGTGAGTCGATATGGTCCATTTTCAGAGCTGGTCGGAAATATAAGGATTTGCAAAATTTGAACAAAAGTTCTCTTTCAACGTTTTATGTTTTTTTTTTTTTTTTAAATAAAAAATTAAAATATTAATAATCGGAAAACATGATTAAATCGCATGAATTGAAAGAAATATTAAAAGTTGGAATTTTCTTCAACTCTCACAGGACAGATTTCGAAAAATATATTTTTAAATTGTAGGAAAGCCTTAGATGTCTCCTGTTAAATAAGGAAAAGGAAAAAGTCTTATTCGATTATAAGTTTCGGAATATTTAGAAGAAAAAAAAACGAGTCGAAACAACTTTGCGATATAGACTTAAAGAGTTTTCTTCGACCTTTACTACACAAACTCGCCCAGAGAGCTGAACTACAATGGTTTGGAACTTCAATGGTCAAGAAATGTACGATATCTATTTTTAAACAATTTGGAAACCCGGAATTATCTGAAATTACTAATAAGTTCAATATGGAAACTAATTTTATGAGTCGTTCCTCCTTCCTCCCTCAGAAATCATAATTCATATTTGTTCCTGGCGCATACTTCACCGATGTTTTCCTTAGATTGTTGCTCATACGTCCACTTGCCCCAAATAAAGTAACATTTCACAATTTGCTCCACTTATCACCAGAAAAAAAATATTTAAAACGAAAAAAATTACAAATAAAACAACACATTCATACACACCTAGTTTGTGGTTATAATTTTAGATTGAATCGGAAAATTTATTGGTATTTGTGTGTGATCAACATGCAATTGGCGCAAATCAATCAAAATGTATTTTTTTCTCATCCCAGGTTGCTTTTCGTGCTGAATGCGAACAAAATTTTGATTTGAATATTTTTGTAAACACATGAACATTTTTTTTTTTTTTTTTTTGTTTTCTGCCATCAATTGAAAATCTATAATAAACTGGTGCTGAACAGATCATTATGAAAATCGAAAAATGAAGAAAAAGCAAGGAAATTTCTTTGCCCGGAGGTAGGAAGATGTTGATTAACGTGTAAAAGAGCACCCCTTTGTAAATCATGAAATGTGAAATGTTGTGAATATTTATTTAGCTACTGCAAGCTACTACTTATTCTGTCGAAAAGCATTTGCTATTGTATGGGTGAGACTAGTCACACAAACGAGAGATATGAATGAAATGCTTCATTAAATTTAGATCACAAAGGAAAGAAATAAGTATTAGGAAAAATGGGATTTTAAAGGTGAACATAAAGATCACAAAATTACTTATAAATAATTTAATTTCCAATAAATACCAGTATTTCTTAAATTCATTAAAATGCCCC